CCCCTCCTCATAAGCCTATATATACTAAGCGAGCAAATAAATAAATAAATAAATAAATAATTGCCCAACAATTTTTGTGTGCTGTCTGCAAAATTTGTGATTGCGATCAATGATCAGTCGAGCGATGCTGCTCTATTATGAGTGTGGCTGAATGTGTGTGTGTGTGTGTGTGTGTGTGCGTGTGTGTGCCCTATGCCAGCGATAGATAGATACTTACGTATCGCCAGATAGACGTACTACCAACAGTCGCTGTAAATACACTCGCAGAAATTGTCTAGAAGCTGCTTCCGCTAAAAATAGGCATTGCTGATAGCCATCAAAGACTTGCCAGAGCAGCGGAACACTGACAAATGAAACGTGGAAGTGTGAAACATGCAAACAGACTGTGTAGATATGTTAGCCATGACAATGTGGAACAGTGGAAGGTAAAACAGTGGAATGGGTCTTAAAAGAGAGTGTGGAACTGAAATGTGGGTAGTGAAAACTTTGCATGAATATGAAACCGTAAAATGGGAGAGAACAAATCGCAGATGATGAAGCAATGGAGAAATCTCAATGAGATTTTGGAACTGAAATGTGGAGAGTGAAAATCTTACTATGGAATTGAAACAGTGAAAGTAAAACAGCATTGCAATGACATAGCAGGAGCAGTGCGGAACACTGAAAAGCGAAACAGGAGGCATTGAAACAGTAATGAATTCTATTTGCTAAACAAGTATAAGCATTTCGCTTCGTTTGGGCCATTCCACTGTTCCTTTTCATTAGCWTTGTGCACCTGCTCATTTCTTTGAGTGTATGGCCCACTATTGTCTTAATTATGTGCTGTTGTCTCTGCCGCTGCCGTCGCTGCCGCCGCTGCTGCTGCTGCTGCTTTTGTTGGTTCGGCCTCTGCTGCTGCTAGGCAAGGCGTGACTATCTAACGCCAGACAGTCACAGCCGCAGCCGCTTGGCTTACTCATCGTCTCATCAGCTAGCCCAGCCCTGCCCCTCCTACCCGGGACCCCAATCCCCCTATGCCCTGCTCTGCCTCCCGCCACGCCTCGCCCCTCACTCACACGGAGCCCCTAGCTGAAGTGCCCAAATTGTTGGCTAGCTTTTTTTTCGTTTTCTGTTTTCTTTTTCTTCTTTTTTGTTGTTGCTTTTTGCGCGTTCCGCTCTCGTTGTCGTTGCCGCCGTCGTCTCAGCCGCTGGCTCCGCCATGAACCTCCCGCTCTCTGAGATGACCATCGGCATCGGCATCGGCATCGGCATCTGTCGTCGTTGTCGTCGTCACCGTCGGTCGCCACTTGTTTATTTCTAAGTATTTGGCGCTCTCGCAAGATCACGCGCCGCACCGATCGCTGATAAAATTTGCTGCTTTTGGGGGCCCGCACGGCACTTGTGGCAGGGCGCAGGAGCCGGCCAGCAGGGCTTGGGGGTGGGGCTGCTGCCTCTAATCTGCGAGTGTTCTAATTTAGAGATGGGCGCATAGTCACGAATTTTGTAGACAATAAATTCACAGATCTTACGAATCACAAAAAAAAAAAGAAAATAATAATAATTAGTTGCATCTCTGAAATCGAAAGGGGAGAGATCTAGATCACAGGATTAGAATTATATATATAAGGCATACAAACTGTTTGAGCCAATTTGCAACTACTCTTAGTAATGCTTTATCTGAGCAAATTTGCAAACTGTAGATCCATAGACTATACAGAGTCGGTAAACTTTTAGAATTCAATGTAGAAATGAAATTTATATGTAAAAACATGTATATCTAGAGATTATAGTAAAAGATATAGCAATAGATCGTACCTAAAAAGATAAAAGACAGGTTAATGTATATAGTCAAGAAAGCCAAACAAGATTTCGAATATAATATCTATTAGAGAGACAGAGAAAGAGAGAGATAGAGACAGAGAGAGCGAAGAGAGATAGAATTGTTTCATTGTATACACATATATGTATGTATACTAAATAATCCCCAGCTCATTTATTGACTCTTAATTATGTCCATTCGCAGGGCGCCTGGCATTGTTTGGACTGGAATAACTAATTGGCTTTTGGGCGGGGCTGGATCATGCGTTCGCTCGTGTCCGACGTTGATTTATTTCCGAACTCGGGATCTCTATGGCCCAGCTCCGACTGGTCACATGGCAGCGGAACATTTGTGGTGCGGCATCGAGCATTGCACTGTTTATGGTATTTTGGCAAATGCACGTGCCATTCCACTATTTATGATCGCGTGTTGTTTGTTTGCTTTGGCTCGGTTTCGGCAACGCTTTTCTAATCAAAGACACCCTAATAAAGAAAAAAAAAAATACCGAAAATAACCTGCTAATTGATGCCACAATCAAGAATCGCCCCAGTCCGTACCCGAGTCAGAGCCCCGAAGCCAGCGGAGCTCCAATCTATCTGATTCGACGCTAAGTGGGAGGCAAACAATGCGCAAAACGAAATGGTAAACAGATAGTGTGTATTTTGCGAGCTCCCACAATGCTGGAGACCCCAATGGACGTAAGAGCTATGGAATTTGGAATAGTTTGGCAAGTGAAACAGAAAGATGCGCCAAGTGGAACAACAATTAGAGAAGAGCACATAAGAAAGGCTTATGTAGAAGGAATTATTTGATAGGTGGAATGGAATGGGGAACAGTGATGTATGAAGATGTGAAACAGTGAAAACGAAATGGTAAACAGCTTGTGGGTGCTTGGCTTTTACTTGGTCTACCAAGTGCCGAAACAATAACTCGAATCAAATATGAAAGAAATACAAATTTTCTTCATTATGGAATGCACGGAATATGAAACACGGATATATAGATTAGTAATATGTGAAAGACAGAAGTATACAAATGTTGTATATGTGGTTAGTAAGAAAATAAAATTGAAGATTGAAACAGTGAAAATGGCACACGCATATTAAGAGAAAGCGAACTGTAAAATCTATAAATTACTGCAAGTTTTTATCAAGCTATGTTGAACTTAACCAGTAAAGCCTATAGAACATATTTCCAATGAGTACTGGAACGCTGGAATTGGGCCATTTTAAAGCTGTTTCGCAGCCGAAAGCCAACTTTCAGACTAATTCGATAGTATAAGACCTCAGAGATATAGCTTAGATCAAGCGAATGCCTAGACAGCTACGTAATACGTTCCAATTTCAGTTGTTGCTATAGCTACCTACTGCCTAGGTGTAGACGTTGAATCGTGACAGAATATGAGTTGAAAGGGAAACCAGATTGTAGGCACAGAGTCGAGGCGCATGCACAGGTACACACATAGACACAGGTATTTAGCTAAGGTAAATACTTTCGTGTAAGTGGTTGGGCATGTCTCGGACCTGGGGTTGGGTGTCGGGTGTTGGGTGCTGAGTGCTGGGTGCTGGGGCTCTGGTCTGGGCGGCAGTTCTAGACATTCCATGGGAATGTGTTCCACAAAGCGAATGCGCCTATTTTTAGATACCTCAAAATGCATGCACAAACAGCGCAGATATCTACATATATCTTCTAGTATAGTATATATAGTAGTAGTTGCAGTCGGTGAATCTAAATCGAAATTTGACTCGTGACGATGATGGATCATTGCGTTGGCATTTGCTCCAGCTTACGAATGACGTCAGCAGCTGCATGGTAATGGCGGAATGCGGCCAAAGATCATGCGTTCTGTATCGCCTCAGTGTGTAATCGTAATACCATCCAAAAATTCCGCTAGACCAAAAATATCAAAACAGAAAAACAAAAATACATATATGAAATAAAAATAATGTAAATTTTGTGCAAAAATAAAATCATATTTTTGCAGTTACGCACAGTTGCACTGATAAACAAATGGTATGCCCGACTATGGAATACTCAGCAAAATATTGAAGTTGCATTTATAGTAAAATGGTATTAGCTATTAATGGAAAATGTTACTACAACAAGTTTATTTGCCGACATAAATTAGTGACTTAGTCTAATTTATATAAACTTAAAATAATTGACTTTGTTCTTAATGGAATATTGTTCTTTTTTGTATTAATTAATTCATAGAATAAATGTTGTTATCAATAAATAAATATTTATGCAATTCACATTACACTTACACATATCATACCTACACATTGTCAGTTGCTTGTTTTTACAGGGTATGCATGAACGTCGTCGTCGTTTGCTCGCTTGCATTAATACTTCGCACATTGCGCATACGCCGCGTGCGCCAATGCGCGGCTGCCTGTCGTAGGTTAGTTCCGCCGACAGCTCAGCTCCAAAAGGCGAATACACATATACATACATACATCGATACATACGTATACATACATGCATGTGCGTATGCTGGATAGTGGCGTATGCTTCAACAGGCCGCAGCAAACAGAAAAAAAGAAAAAAAAAAACACCACAAAGACAAGAAAAAGAAGAAATCCATGTGCAGACGGGGCGAGCTGGATGGGTGGGTGGGTGTGTGAATGCTGATTGCTGGGCGGGGCAGGCGCGCATTAGGTTAATAGATAGTGACTGGCAAAAGACAAAACAAACAATATAAAATACACGTTATAGGAACAACAGCAGCAGCAACAAGAACAGCAACAACAACGACAACAGCAGCAGCAAGAGAAATGAAATTAAAATCCACAATAAGCCAAAAAGCAACAACAACTAATCCAGCAGGCAGCGAAGCGCGCGCGTCGTCGTGCATGTTGACAAAACACAAAAAAAAAGAACAAAAGCTACTAAAGCTAAAAAAAGGAAAAAAAATATTAACAACAACAAAAAGCTCAACAACAAAAGAACGTCAACGCCGACAGCGACGTCAGCGTCAGTGTCAAGCAGAGCGCAGCTGTCGGTCGTTGTCTATTTGCTTATTTGCCATACAGTTATGTGCTTGTATGTATGCCTCTGTGTGTGTGTGTATGTGCGCGAGCGTTTGTCACATGCGAGAGAGCCGCCAACGCAGAGAGAGGCGCGAGGCAGCGCGGCATCTATTCTATGCTGCTGCTACTGCTGCTGCTGCTGCTGCCGGCGCGCGTCAGCGTCAATCGAACTTCAGTTTGTCCAAGATCGCGCCGACCGAACGAACGACGCTAGAAAAGACGCGCGCGACAACAACAAAAACAACGACGACCACGACGAAAGAAAAAAAAACGCAGCGAATTCGAATGATAGAAAAAAAGCATAACACAAACAAAAACCATACGAAAGCCGAAGACAGCCGATTCCGAGTGCAGCCGAAATTGAGAAATAAACGCGAACTGTTAAAAGTTAACGGTTAAACGCGAGYGTCGTCCTGCACCAGCAGCAACAACAACAAGCAGCGGCTTTTGCGAAAACAAAACGCGCATTTTTCAATTCTTGTAGGTGACAAAAACAAAAAACAAAAAAAGAAGTGTTGAAGCATGCGTGTGCCTGAGAGTGTGTGTATGTGTGTGAACAGTCACACACATGTGCACATTTATATAGCTGCCCTGCTCGCACTTGCCATTGAATGCAATTCAAGAGACAATCAAGCCTAAATGAAATTGGACATTGATAAATGTTAAACGATATCAAATATAGCATATTCATATACGATATACGCGACACGATATATCACATATGTATGTATATGATCTATGAGATATTTATGTGATATATGACGTCTGATTGATGGCTGGGCCAATCAATTTAGATGTATATAAATGCCTCAGAAGAAACTAAACCAAGTGCACTTTAAAACAAGCAACTGGCGTGCAACTGACCGAGTCGACGTGCAAATACCCTATAATTGTGTAAATTTATATTAAGATAAGTCGAGGCAGCCTTTCCATGGCAGTTAGCTAAAAGAGTTAATCAATCTGTCCCAATTCAGAGATACCCTCTGAATATCAAGTTGAATATGACCTTACAATGCTTCCACTCTTTTACTTGTAACAAATCTAGGGTCGATTCCGAACACCTACCGCTCTGTAAACCTTATCGAGCTAGGGTATTTTTATAGTCACAATTAAAAGCATGTGGCATGGATTGGAGAGCTATTCAAAATTCACATAAATCCAAAGTAAATTTGTAAGCAAAATGAGCAAAATATGGAGTGCAATATTACTCAGTGACATTCTCGGCTAATTTCCGAGTGATCGACTAATCGACTGATCGACTGATCAAGTCATTAACTCGAGGAATGCAGAATGCACGGCGCAAGCTCGCACCGCCCCGCCCTAGACACCTTCAGCCAAGACACACACCCACAAAAAGCAGGCAATTACCTGGCAATGATGTTGGCTTTTATTACTATCATTTTGAGGCTGTGTGAAGGGCGCCCCAAAATCCAAAAACAAATAATGAAAATAAAAAACTTGAAAAAAAAGCGAAAACAAATCAGAAATCAATCGATCGACCGTTTGGGTTGGGGCATTCAGTAAATGCCATGCTAAAAAAAATACTTAAAAAAATAAAAATAAAAGAAACAATTTTACAATTTACAATTCAATGGCTGCTCGATCGGTCGGGAATCGGATCGTATCGCATCGCATCGCTTCAGCAATTGGTGTGGCTTACAGCATTGGCGATTGCACTGCAACAACAAGGCGTGGCAGTAGGCGAAGGGGCGACAGGGGGAGAGAGCTTACTAGATGCTGGGTGCTCTGGGTGCTGGAAGCTGCCATTAAATAAGCACATAAATTGCGGGCACTGATGACGCACCGAGCGGTATTTTTTTTTTTTTTTTTCTGATCGAATCATACACATTCTTTGGGCACTTCGCTGTTCTGGCTGTTGCTATTGATGTAATTAGCATTTGAATTATTATGAAGTCTTTGACACTGTTCAAGGATGCAGAGAATTAGAGAGAAAGAGAGGGAGAGAGTGTGAGTGCGATAAATAGAAGGGGCAATAGGAATGGAGACATGGATAATGAGTGAGTACATCAAAGAGACAATAGGAGAGTGAAAGGAAGAGATGAAGAAAGGGGACAACAAAGAGAAAGATAGAAATAGGAAGAGTAAGAGTGGTAGTGGAAGAGGGAGACAGAGAGACAGAGAGAGAAAGGGAAAAGATAGACGGGTAATGGGAGGTAGGGGATTCAAGATCTAGGTAGACTAAAATATAGAGATATATTTATAGAGATAAGATAAGCATATGTGTAGATGTATAACAAAATATAGAATACGAAAGATATCCATGTACAGATATAGATATATAACAGAGAAAAAGATAGATATAAGGAGAATATAGGGAAATTGAATCAGTAATACCTTGTTCTTGGTTGCTCTAGCTGGAAGATGTCTCTTCGCTTGTCGGACACAAAAACCCGTAACGTAACTGCTTGGTTTTATATAGGTCAAAGAACTAATGCTAATGTATTCACTGTGTTTATTTGAAGACAGCATTATATACTTGCTGATCAAGTAAATTGGGTCTCTCGTATACTAAACAAAAAACAAAAAGAAACTGAAACGAAAAGCCGAAGCGAAAACGATTGAGAAAGATAGAGGGGGGAGAGGGAGCGCGAGAGGTTACTATATTAATGGATATTACAAATAACAGCTGCGCGAATTGTTCGCTTTGCACTCGACACCAATCGATATGTGAACACGCAGGCGATCGATCATGCGAGTGATCGATCAATTGATCGATCTATTGCAATGCGAATCACTCAACAGGTTAACAGGTCTCCGTTGCTTTTCCAACTCTTGTCAGCCAGTTGTCAATTGCCAATTGCCAGTTGCCAGTTGCCATATGCTCGCTGAGCTGTATAAATATTCATACTTTGATGCGAATCAGAATTAAACTCTTCTAACTCTTTAATTGCAGAAATGTTAAATCTGTGATGGATACCTATTTCAGTTAAATTTAGGAAAGAGAACCAGACTGAGAATTGTCGAATGTATAGAGGCTAAATAGACAGTTCAAAGATAAGAGTGAATAGATAACCTGAGAGAGAGAGAGAGAGAGAGAGAGAGAGAGAGAGAGAGAGAGAGAGAGGGAGAGAGAGAGAACAGAGAAACAGTCACAGAACAAGAGATATATAACAACTGAGACAGAGAAAGAAAGCTGACGGTAAGAAAGAGAGATAGACATGTAAGTACAGGCGTATAAGAGAGAGGGAGAAAGCTGAAATGAGCTTGATGCTCAAAAGATCTCATAATAGAAAAAAAGAAAAAAATGTTGTTAAGAGTCAAAGTTCTTTAATAACTTTAAATTCTTAAGTCAATTGTCAGAGCCTTTAAAACTCATTAGATTACTGTTGCTTATATCCAGACTATCCTCAATTGATTTTGAAGGACTTTACGCCAATAGAAGTTTAGCTTGTCTTAATCCAATAAACGCTTCAATGTACTTTCAAAGCTCCCCATAGAGCAGAAAATAAGACAACAATCATTGCAAACACATTGCCAATATCCATTAGCAACTTTCGCTAGTCGATTATTCCCTTGATGGATATTGCCTTCAGCTTGTTAATAAAACAAAACACAATGCACAATAAACAATAAACAAAATACGATAAACGATGAGCGAATTCATATGCTTTCAATATGAAACAACAAAACTAACAGATGTTTGTGCAGTGCAGTGGCTTTTGCCATTTGCCATTTAAATCAGACACAATTTTTTTGTGATTTACTTTGATTGGCATCTAATTTATGATTGACAGTTACAAACGTTGCGACCAGCCGATAGACCGACCGCCCGACCAAACGGCCAAGCGCTCCGTCAGCCTACCGCAAATGCGGATACAGATACACAGAAAGTGACAGATACGGATACATAGACAGATAGATACAGATACAAATTGAGAAATACACATTATAGATAGAGGAAAATAAGTATACGGATACAGCTTCACATACAGGTACATATATGGGGATACAGATATAGATACGTTTATGTAGATACAGTTACAGTTATAGATAGATACATGGATGGATAGTTAAATAGATAGATAGATAGATAGATGGATAGAAAGATAGATAGATACATTGATACATAGATACATAGATACATAGATACATAGATACATAGATACATAGATACATAGATACATAGATACATAGATACATAGATACATAGATACATAGATACATAGATACATAGATACATAGATACATAGATACATAGATACATAGATGCATAGATATATAGATACATAGATACATAGATGCATAGATACATAGATGCATAGATACATCGATACATAGATACATAGACAAATAGATACATAGATACATAGATACATAGATACATAGATACATAGATACATAGATACCTAGATACCTAGATACATAGATACATAGATAAATAGATACATAGATA